TTGTGTCCCCCTATGTCCTGAAAGAGACAAAGTAATTTAAAATATAAGTAAAACCTTGAACTTTCTAATGTTTGACTTCTTGAACTTAACACACACAAGAAAGGTTGTTCCCCCAGCCCCGTGTTTCCTGTATTACTTGCTTCCAGTCAAGGCAGTGGGCAGGGGGCTGGCTGAGGGAGGACTGGAGGAAATGCAGGTGACTTGGAGGACATTGTGTGGCTGCCACCCTGGAAAAGGGACAAGATAGGTACCTCTTCATCACCCCTGGACACCTCCAACTTTGCCTGAAACTAAAGGATCCACTTCCTAGAGCCCCACCACCAGCCTGGGAGCGGACAGACCTTCCCTGCTCTCAGAAAGAGGGAGATACAAATACCATTTTTTTCTTCCGAAGAATCCCAGGGTCCAGCAGAACATTGGGGTAACAGGTTTTCCAAATAGTGGGTTCACCAGCATAAAGGATGAGTGTCATTTCATGGCCTAGCAGTGTTCTGAGCAATCTTGTTTGGGGGGACTTTCGGCAGGTCATGACTGCTGTCTTCATAACTCCAAAGTGTCATCTGGAGGCGGAAGAACAGAAATGTGGCCACGGGATGAGCCAGGATCAGCAGAAGGAACTCCAGGGAACACAGAGGCTGATGGAGCACAAGGAATAACTTTCATATTGACTTTCTTGACAGGTCCAGGGGTGCCCTGTCACAGTAAGTGACAGATAACCTGATAACCCTCATCAGCAGAGCCCTGATGACCATCAGCCAAGCTGGTTAGTGCCATGTTTTGGTTCAGGACTGTGTGGCTCATGGCACATCTCCCTGTCTTTTTTGCCACTGGCTTTGACACTTGATCCTCTAGGTGGACCTACCCTCTCTCCCTGAGCTGGAGAGCCTTAGAAACTGTGTGTGCTCCTGCATATTTTGCAAATCGGATCAGCAGCAGAGACTTTAAACTGTGCCAGAAAGCAAAGACCTTCAGCATGAATTCTTACTTGTGGAGGGAGTGGCTGCTCCCTGACTCTTCCTTTATATGAACATGAATAGGTGGCTTATTGGTGGGGCTTAGGAATTGTGACAAAGTGCACCACGTAGATAGAGGGCCTGGCACAGCTGCCAAGAGCCAAGGGACAGGGCCAGCCTTCTGCGGGTGCCACTTTCTCAGCTAAGGGGAGGTGTTCAGGAAGAGGGTTCAGCACTTCACAAATGGGGAGACGACCTTGAGGATTCCCACAGACTCTGAGCCTTTTGATTCCAATCATTCCAGTCCTTCTGCAGATTCATGGCACTGAAGACTTCCCCTGACTCCACGCCCTCAGCAGCAAACCTGGCCTGGTGCTGGAAATCAAACTCAATCTCTCATTGTCTTCAGCATTGTTAGACTCGGTAATGCCACCCAAAATCTCAATGGAATCTTCCCGGGCACACAGCTTGCTCTTCTAGACCGTGAAGGCTTGGCCAAGGCATCTCTTCAGCACTGTCCACCAGCCGGATGTATTACCTTCTCTAAAATTTCACCACAGTTGCCACATTTCATCTTCATGGATCCCTGGAAGTCTTGCTCTGGAGCCGAAAGTTGGCTTTGAGCTGCAGCACAGCCTTCCCTACGGTGCTCCAGCTCAGCATAGTGCTGGGTGCGGCTGCCACTTACCAGCCTGTCGTATTAGTGGTCTTAAGTAAACTAAGATTAGCAAGCATAACTACAGGGTTTATGTAGGCTTTGCCATGGCAACAATTCCATCATCTTGTGCAAACACAGCTTTTCTGGTTTTACCAGATTCATGATGGAGCTGTTGAAAAGAGCACAAGCATAGAGAAGCAGCATGCACAGAATACTCAGTTCCTGTGCCCAGAGGTTCATTTTATTGTCCCAGCCTTTTGTCCCATCATGGTGGTCCCTGATGCTCACAAGAACGAAATGGAGGATATATACTGGCAGATGTCTCCCCAAGGCCTCATGTTCTCATAGGTGGGGCTTTTCGGAGATGGCTGGATCTCTAGGGTGTGCGATGCTGGGACTGATTCATGGTGAGATGCTAGGATTAAAGGTGCCCTATCCTGGGTTTGAGTATAGAATGACTATAAGGGACAGAAAGAGGGCTGCTTGTGTTGCTTGCTGCTTCACTGCTTTTTTGCTACTCTGCTGCCCACCATGAACTGTTTCTCCTCTGTGATGCTCCTCTGCCACACCACCCTGCCTTGGAGCCAGCTGATTACAGGCTGGAACCTCCACAAACTGTGAGCCAAAATAAACCTTTCCTCCTTTAACTTTGGATGTCAGGTATTTTATCTCAGCACTGAGAAAAGTAACCAAGATGCTTGCTAGAGGAACAGTCACAGACTTGGTCACTTGCCACACCCTTCTCCAGTGTCTTCTTTTGTAAAACTTGGGGCACAGATATCAGGCAAGTAAGGAGCCTGGAGCCTCATTAAAAAGCAACTCTGAAAAGGCACATGTATGGTATGATGGCCTTTGTGAAAAGGTCATGTATTTCTATAGGCCTCACATTAGTGTAGAAAAGTATAATATATATGAGAGTCACTAAATCTAAATATAT